GGGGGGGGGCCGGGCTGAAGGGTGAGGGTCCCAGGCTGAGGGCAGTTGGGCTGCCAGCGCAGCCCCCAGGGATGTTTTCAGCTGCCTCACAAGGCTCCTTCCAGCCCGGCGAGGAAGGGAATGCTATTGTCAGGGGCGGGAGCGCGGTAGGGAACGTGGTAATTATGATTAAGCTGTAATTGCCAGCAGTGTTTTGGTTGTCGGGCTGCAGCGCGGTGCGCTGCGCTGTGTTTACATAAAGAGTGTCCTCTGGAGCTGTTTTTCCGTTCGCTTCAAAGCGCTTAGCACGAACAGGCGTGACAGCTGCGGGTTTTGCGGTGTTTGAGCGTAAACATGCAGCTGTGAGGCTTGATTCTTGGGGTAGAAGTGCGTTTGGCTTTAATATTGGTGTTTCTGAGGGAACACTTTGACAAACCTTCGTGACGTTAGTAGGAATTATGTTTTACTTTTGGCCTATTTGAGTAATTTCAGGTTTCCTGGGGAGCTGACCTTACCAGCACTTTAGCTTGATAAATCGTGAAGTGGAGCTTTGCCTGGTGCAGGTGCTGGAATCAGAGCAATGTTCATGAGCACGTGCAGGAGAAAGTTCTAAGTGAACGCAGGACTCGGGCTCTGGTCTCTTAGCATTAAAAATAGCCCGTTGTAGAGCACGTCTGAGCATTTAACTTGCTGCCCTGGTGAGGCCACATCTGGAGAACTGTGTCCCCTTCTGGGCTCCCCGGTTCAAGAGAGACCTCAACTGCTGGAGAGAGTCCAGGGGAGGCAGCAAAGATTGTTGGGGGATTGGAGCATCTCCCTGCTGAGGAAAGGCTGAGAGACCTGAGACTGTTCAGCCTGGAGAGGAGAGGGCTGAGGGGAGACCTTCTTGATGCCTACAAGTATCCAAGGGTGGATGCAGGGAGGATGGAGCCAGACTCTGCTCAGCAGTGTCCAGGGACAGGACGAGGGGCAACAGGCACAAGCTGGAACATGGGAAGTGCCACTGACAGATGGAGAGAAACTTACTTACCATGAGGGTGACAGAGCCCTGGGACAGGCTGCCCAGGGGGGCTGTGGAGTCCCCTTCTCTGGAGATACTCAACTCCCCTGGATGTAGCCCTGGGTGATGTGGGTGTGCTCCAGGGGATCCTGCTTTAGCAGGGGAGTTGGACTGGCTCATCTCTAGAGTTCCCTTCCATCTCTGACAAT